GAAATTTCAAGAGGATTCTATATGAAACTTCACGGGAGAGCGTGACTGCTTTCTCACCCCAGTGGGCCTGGGTTGAAACCCAGCTGAGGTCGTTGGAAGTTTCTGAGGCGAAAGATCCAAGGGAGCTGGCTCATGTGTTGATGCGTTTGAGTCACTTATTTGGAGTTGATGATTGACACTCGTTTGCGGAACAGAGACCGACGGAAAATGTGGAGAGCATCAGATAAGGATTTTTAAGGAAATGATTGTGTTATTCCTAGGGAACTCCTAGAGGTATTCCTAATGCCTTGTTCAGACTACAGAGTTATAACATGTTATAGCGCTATCTTGATGGTGATTTCTGTGTTGCAATTATTTGACAACCGTTATAACATCTGGACAGCGCTTAAGCGATTGAATGTATGTCTGTAAGGTAGCCACCATCCCTTCGAGATTGAATTGAGGTACTGGTCCGAATTCACAATAATGCTGAATGAAGGGCTATCAACGGCGTCACTCACGCGAAACCCGCGGGAAAATTAGAGTCTCCTTCCAACGATACGACCCAACAAAACGAATAACATAATTCGCAATAAGCTTATTAAGATCCCACATGATGATTTGTTATGAAGGACGCGTCAATCTCCCTGCAACTGTTGGAGTAGAATTCACACCCTAGAAGTGTTCCTAGGCGATTGAAGAATAAATATCTAGGGTATTACAGATGTAATTTCATGGTAATTTCTAAAAAGCTCCAATAGAAATAAGACCAGAAATTTTGAGGCAGTCGCAGAAGGAACTCCATTACAGTAAGCCCAACAGAGTTCCAAAAGGAATGTTATGGAAATTCCAGAAAAGATAACAAGGTTGTTGCAAAAGGACATCATTCGAGTAGTTTAAAATGACGTTTCCTTTCACTCGAACTTTGCACCGTGTGTCAATGTTTGGATATTTTTTCTTCTTGAACCTCGGAAAATAGGGTCTTATTAATGACAGGCGAGACAAATCCGGAATTTATCGCTTCATTTTCTTAACTCTTTCCCTTCCATGGTTACTCTGGAGCACCATGTGTGAGCTAAAACTTTCTGAAATTCCAACCGATTTTTGTAAAAATATTATAACATTGTCTGAACTAGCTTTTCTATATCGGAAGAAAATCCAGGCCAATATCTCAAGACATTCCAAAGATACCGGTTTTGACGTAGGACTACGTCTGTGATTTCTATATTAGGGTACATTTTGTGAAAACCGAAAATGGAACATGTAAAAACATTATGAATGGAGGCGAACCAGCCAAAGGCTGAAAGCCTCCCTAATAAATTTAAATAATAATAATAACATTATGAAAGATTTTGAACGTTAATACCTCAGCTGCCCTTGGATCGATTTCAATAATTTTATCACCAATCGATCAGAAATATTTCTACGCATTTGACTTTATCATTTTTCACAATGTCCATACTGAAAATTGCATGAATGTGCAACTGTTACTATCATAATTAAAATTATCACCTATTGCTTGCGAAAAGCGTTTTCCCTAAAACAGATTTCAAAGTTGAATTCCATCCGGTCTCATCAAACGGTGTTTATTCAATCACTGCGTGGTGAGTGGTGGTGTCCTCCAGTACACAACGAAAGGCTCCTCACAAGCAGCTAGTTATCAAGGCTGCCCACATCCGCTGATCGGATTCAGTTCCAATCACCGTGTATGGTGTTGTCCGGTCGTCGGCATCAGAAACAGCAACAGCAGTGCTTTTGGCGTGTGGCGTTGAACATTGTTCTCCAGTACACAACGAAAGGCTGCCTACAAGCAGCGAGCTGCAGCCGACATGAGCATCAGTAGCTCTTCGTAAGTTGCTGTGGGCCATCTATGTCAAGCGCGTCATACTGAAGAGTGTAAACAGAGAGAACCCCGCTCAAATTCCTATTCCTACACAAAACACAAGCTCCTGCTGCAGTTAACAAATAACATTTATTATATGTATAAGACCACGTAGTCCTACGTCACCATTGCTTACAACCCCATAGGGCTGTCCCTGTAGGTTTTAAAATTGGTTATGCCAAAAATGGGAGGGAAAGAGTTAAAATAGCTGGTAGAAGATCGTTCTAAAACTTCTCTTCAATATGGTGAATTTCAAGAGAATTCTTGAATGATTTTCAGGAGGACTTCAGAAGGATTCAAAGATAATTTTAAAAAGACGCCCAACGAATTTCAAAACAAACTCAATCGGAAATGGGTTGGCACAGCCAAAGGCAATTCCACAAATGAACTCCAAGAGAATTTCTGGGAGAACCCCAAGGGGATTTCAGCAAGAGTTCCTGGAGAATTGTAGACGAAATTGCAAGGGAATTACGAGAGAATTTCAGGGGAATCATGGAATTCTGCAAACCAGCTATTAGAAAACGAATCCTGCCAAATATTGAATCGCTTCGCCTTCCACCAAATAATCGCAATCTCACTGGTTAGATTAACAAAGTATGTAAAATTAGTGGAAGACTTTAGTGTGCTGAGATGATCCGTCACGAGTCAAGCCTTCAAATCGTATAGTCCTCTCCAGCTGCATATGCATTTTTATGTTTGCTCCGGGTCCTGATCATCCCCCCACAATTTTAATGTTCTCGAGCACTGATTTTCAACATGAAGGTGCATCACATCTCAGAGCTTTGATTTACAAAAAAACGAATACTCTACACACTTAGATTGTTACAGGAGTACTTTTTACTGGGTTTTTGAATTGCTGAAAAAGTCGGCAAAAATTCAAATGAGGAAGGAAGGATAGAAGATAGAAACAACTGACAACTGAAGAAATCAAAGCAATCGTCAAATTTCATCTTCCATCATCGGTGTTCACTCGGCTGTCGACAACAGCAGGCCACTCTCGATGGGTGCCACGCGATCGTCTGTTTTTTTTCGGTAGCAACCATTGTGTGGTCCTCCTTATTGTTCTCCATTAGCAGTTCTTTCGATCGATGCGTCGTCGACTTTGGAAAGCAACCGTTTAGTGTGTGTGCTGACCACGTTCTGCGTCCATTGCTGTAATGGAAGCGCTCTGACCCCCGTTGGCGTAACTCCAATACAATGAAACCACTGGAAGCGGCTCCAGTTTTGATGGAGGAGGCTTTTGGAATAGCGGAAGATAAAGTGTTTATTGTGTTGTACCTTTTGACAATAATTTTAAGATGTATTGCATAGTGACCAAGAACTCTGGCTCTGCGGAAGTTAATTCGTGCAAAGTTTAATCTTCTATCATCAAATGGGGTTAAGGTGATACGATCCAGCGTTCACAAATCTCAGGCACTTGCATTTCCACATCGAGTTTTCTAGTGAGTTAAACTCGAACACTCTTGCGATTTCAGGCATTGCATTTGCATCACCATATTTGCTGCGTCACAGCAAACTTGGAGAAGCAGTTTTGTCATTGTATGCTTTTCGGTAGCAGATAATTGTCCCCTGGAAAATGCGAATTGGCAGCAGAGCCCGGGCTTCTGGATCGTATCACCGTAGCAGAAGTAAGTCTGTTCAAGTTTGGAATAAGTTTTCTCATTTTTTAATTTTCCACAGATTTTTAAACTTTTACCGAACAGGTCCGCAATTCATAAACCAAGTAAAACTTTACTGACTGGAAGGTTACAATTCTTAATTTGGTGTGTAAGACTTAATTTAACCCCTGACGATAATAGGTACGGCAAGTTTCCCTACAACGGACTGAAGAATAAGTGCTTCCAATGCAAAACCGAGAAGCAGCGGAAGGATTCCTGTTCAAAGAGGTATGATAAGAGCAGACTGTAGCAGAAGAGCAAAAAACAAACTACGAATTTCGGTGTTACCGAAAACAAATGCAATGCAAACAAAACTCGTCACATCCTTTTCGAACAAACAGAGTGGTAGTAAAAGCAGAACAATACCATTTTGTTTGATTTCTCCTTCTAATGATAAAGTGAAGAGCAATCGAAAGCCTATAGACTATTTTCAAAGTTTCCCTTTGTACAAAAAATCCATGAAACGAATTGTATAACCCTGTTCAAATACTCAATCCAAATTGCTTGAGCGGCCTTCCTCTCTTGACTATCGCTTACCATTTTTTTTTATCTCGTTTTCTTTATATGTTTTGTTTTTTTTTTCAACTTTGTACAAATTACGCATTGTTCCATTGGATTTCCTCATTTGTATCGATTTGTAATTTAGTTTGCTTTGTACCTTTGGGGGGCTCAACGAACGGCACACGCCGGTGCCGTTCGTTTTGTTTTTTTTTTTTGTTTGATCTTACAATGACGACTTTTTTTTCATTGTCTTTGTACAGAATTTCCACATTTTATTAAAATTGAATCGAAACGGAAACTAAACCAGGGACCGATTTAAGGGAAATGATACGAGCGCTGATTGGTTGTTGTTATTTTTTGTTGCCAACAATTTTTTATTTCAAAACAAGTCTGATTTCATTTTGTAGGTTTTCCGATTTTTCCGTAACTTATAGAACATACATGGGCGTGTGTGTGTGTACGAGGAGAGAAATGGGACGCGGGGGCAGGGGATGGTGGGAACGAGGGGCGGTGGAATAAAATAAAAGGTTCGATTTTTCTTCTAAAACTAAGAAAAAACATAACAGTACTTATGCGCTACTTAAATAATTTCCTCTCTTTAATGGTTTGTAACTTTCTTCTTCGTGTTCGCTTTTTAACAATTATTAGGTGATGATGATGACTGATTTTCAACGAGTTATTATTTCATATGTATAACTAAAATTATAACAACTATCACAGTAATGGTTTTGTCTCTTTACACTCTAATTAGACAAGATTTCTCATTTTCTGTTTTCGTTTGTTTTACTCTCCTACTCACTGAGGTCTCCTCATTTACGAACGAGATGAAGCTTCGCGGAAACTAGACAGTTACGACGCAGGACGGCCAGACTAGCGTTGCTGTGACTGCTTCTGTGGCTAGTGCCACAGAAGGAGCCGGTACCAGGCTAGGCTTTGGCCGCCTTGCTAGGGCGGGGAAAGCAGGTATAACCGGCACTTACATCGCATCCACTGACGAGCAGGTTCATCAGAACCGAGTTGGATGCTTGCTCCTGCAGACCGTTGACCTTTCCGGTGGGCCATCGGTGTTGGTCCGCCTGGTCCAGCATGGATTTGGACTTGGCTTTGGCCTTGGCCGGGACCGGCGACGGGGCCATCAGCTGCTGTAGCAGCTGCGGCGAGGACGTGGGAGATTGCTGTTGCTGCCGATGACTACTCTGGGTGGGATTCGGTTTGACGCGCTTGCTGCACCCGTCGCCACTTTCCGCAAGGGGACGCTTGTAGGAGGTGGAGTTGGTGCTGACGGTGGGAGATGCGGTGGAATTCTTCTTGGAGACGATCGATGCGATCACATTCAGCTTGCTGCCACCGGTTGTCGCCGTCGTAGTTCCACTGGTGCTAGCCCCGTTCAGCTGCAGCAGATCGTTCATGGTCCAGGCCTCGATCGAGTTACCTACAAGTGAGTCAAGGCAGAATATTAGTAAACAATGTTTTATTTTGGGTCAGTCACCCTATATCACCACCCTGCGCTGCGACGGTGGTGTTGGTGGTGAAAAATGTGAAACTCGACGGTGAAGTGGATCTTTCATCGGATTGGATCGCCTCAAGTGGGCGACTAAAAATATCATCTACCGGAGTTGGTAGGGTTCTTGAAGATATCTGTCAGAACTCGTTGCCGCCGATCCCGCTCGAGAGATTGGACATTCCGACGGGTTATTTTTAGCTTCGAAAACGAATTAAAAAATGAAGCCAAAGTAGAGCAGCGCAGTGGCAGAGCAAATACGACCGACGGTCTGCTTGTGGTTGTTGTTGTTTTCGTTAAAAAAAACGCGTTCCGTTTGGTATGGTCGGAAAATAAAAATATGATCTTTTATCGGGCGGCGTTTTAATCCGCTACGTTGTTACGTGGGGGTTCGTCTCGACTGTGCCTACGAGGGGTGTATCGCGTGATTTTCCCAGCGGGATGTTTTCAATGGGGAATGGAGCGGCGGGTGACAACGTTTCGTTGGAAAAGTTTTAGTCAATTGTCCGAGTGGATGATTAATCGATGTTCGGCCAACCATGTTTATTGGGTAATTTTGGCTAATTTATGGGTGGCATTGTTACTCAACCAGAAATCCCTTTCGAGGATGGTCGAATTGTTTGTTTGTTTTAGAAGGTTGGGAGTCTCGTTTGTTGGGTTTTTTTCCGAGATAAACCAACTGTAAACTGAGAGCGATATTCTTTCGGAACCGAAGAGATGCTAATTGAAAGGACGATGTATCTTTTGTTAAGGGTGACCATTTTTACCCACCGTTTTAAAGTGCATCCAGTTAGGGTGCATTGTGTCAGGAAAATTCAAAACATATCTGTCTTTCATCAGGAAGGCTTTGGGCATCTGAACAACTCTCAAAGCAGAAACTACCTAGATAATAAGGATCTCAGTATAAAGATCCTACAAGGGAAGTTCACACGTACAATACTGTCACGTAGTGAGAGTATTCGAAATCAATATGTTCATCATCCGGAAAGCCCAAGAACAACTTTAACGAAGACAGCTACTTCTTAGACAGTCAGAATCTCTAAATATAGCTTAGGCAGTAAGTTCACATGTACACTACTGTCGCGTAGAGAGATAATTCGGAATCAATATTTTTTATCATCCGGCCAGCAACTCGTGAAATTCAAGAAGTTTTCAGAACTTCTAAAACTTTCACAATTTCTTGCAGCTCCCGAGACAGTAACTTATACTACTGTAACTATGAGCCTCACTCGTCAGCTAGCCATCTTTCCACCGAGTCTCATAGCTTGTGAGCGGGAAGCTATAAAGCCCGGTTGAGACGGCTCAATTCGGCGTTCAACTCAATTAAACGTCTAGACAGTTGGTCGATGTCCAATTTGTCCAAGTCACTTGAACGTTGACCACTCACTTGAACCGTATATTTTGTATACTTGGGAGTGAATTTATCCGTCATTAATGTTCATGCTTTGCCACCATCGCTCTTTAAGCGCTCTACGCTCAATGTCTCATCCGGACCCATCCACAGCGCATCAAGTTTCCAGAATTCCATAAATTTCAAGAGTTTCAACAGTAGCTTTTGAACAGTTAATTACATTCCTGGATGTCTCAAAATATCTACAGTTCAGGGAGTTTTGTACGCTTCAAATGTTCCAAAAAGTGGTTTTGAGTTTCAGAAAAATGTAGCAATTACAAAAGTTAAGAAAATGTGCAGAGTTTCTAGCGATCTGCTAGACCTTCCTAAATTCTGTCAAATAAGACAGTTCTGAAAGCTTCAGCAGTTCCGAAAATTCGCCTTGGATTTCCGGAACTTGTTGTGCTGCTCAAGAATGTTGGTACTCCCAACAGAACTTTAAGAACTACGGAATCTCCTAGAATTTCATAATTTCTCAGAACTTTAGAACAGTGCGCAAAACAGTCAGGTTCATTGAGTCATTTTGATATGAATATGAACTGCCAACTGCCTCATCATTCACTGCCTCGTGAGAGTCTGAATGATTGAGAGGTAAACGAGCCACTGACAGCCGAGCACTCAGTCAGTAGCTCAGTCAACACGTTTATTCTGCCGTGATGGTACCCAATATTTGTATTGAATGACTGAGCGTACATTTTCTATGGAAAAATTACTCAATTACGTGCTGTGAGAGCGAAGGCAAGCGGCGTGCGTCGCCTGCTCGTGAGTGACTGAATGTTTTTGTTGGCTCTTTCATTGCCTCGTCCTTTACCGTTTGGTACAAATAGCCTAGGCAGTCAATAATTTTACGCTCTGCTTTAGAATACCCTTCTTCTTCTTCTTCGCATTTGAAGCTTATTGCGTATGGCATTATTAGCTTATTGCGTGCTCTCAACTTAGTGTTCTAGATGCACTTCCACAGTTATTAATTGAGACTTTCGATGCCTGTACCATTTTTGTATTAGTATAATTGTGTGGCAGGTACAATCATACTCTATGCCCAGGGAAGTCGAGAAATTTCCAACCCGAAATATTCCTAGACCGGACCGGGAATCGAACCCAGCCACCTCCAGCATGGTCTTGCTTTGTAGCTGCGTCTTTACCGACTGAGCTAAGGGAGACCCGCTTTAGAATACCCACATCCTCCAAAACTCTGCAAACTCTTAAGGCCCAAACGCAATGTGGGCGGAAGCAGAACGAAAACGGAAAGTTTGACAGTTGTCACAAATGACATCAAGCTGCCTAGTCGAAGTCGATTTGGTTCTAACTTGTTTTCAATCCGACAAGTAGGCTTACTCTGATCGGGCTTTTCCGCTGCCGCAGCCGTTCCGCTTCCGCTGTCATTGCGCTAGGGCCTTTATTAATTTCGCTGAATCTCCCGAGGGGGGTGACACATCTAAATTTCAATTCTAGATGCTCAAAAAATTTCACACTAGCGAATCAATCTTCGAAAAATCATCTTTCATTTCTCGCATCTACTTGCATCGTGCTTCATCTTTTTGCAGGAAATCTTCAAAATCGACATAAATCTTCCTTCTATCTACTCAGCGTGCGTGCAGCTAGCCACAGCAAAACACAATCTTTTCTGCATCGTAGATGGAGTCGTCCCCCTCGGTATCTCCCAACAATCTCTTGAAACTTCTGAAACTCAAACAACTACCTGATTTGTTGGAGCTCCAGAATCTCAAACATTATTGGAGCTTTTGGAACTGCCGGAATTCCGGAATCTTCCGACATTCACAGCGCTGCAGTGGCTCATATAACTTTCTAAGAACTACTTGTAACTCGCCTAACATACATTTTCGGATGTTAAGGTTCTTCGAGTACTGTCAAAACTACAAAACTTACAATGTTCCTGGAACTTCAAGAACTTCTTCCTCGTCTTCTTATTTTTCTTCGCATTTCAAGCTTATTGCTTATTGCATATTAGCTTATTGTGAGCTCTCAACTGAGTGCTCTAGATGAAACTCCTCAAACTCACTGGAGGTTTTAAAACACTCTCGTCTTGCGAGTTTAGCCAGCCCTCACCTCGAGTGAGTGGCGGCAGGAATATGGAAGAAGTAAACAAAAACTCCTCGAGAGAGAGAGGGAGAGTGAACTTCAGCGGGAGGATGATTTTACGTGAGGTGCGCTTTTCGAGACTCCGGGTGATTTTTTTTGTTCGACGCAAGAAGCTCTGAGTTCACCCAGAGTGAGAGTAAGAGCGTGTAGCGTGAATAGTAGCAAACCTCACTCTCGTTTTATCTCCTTTCGCTCACAAGCTCTGAAGCTCAGTGGAATGATTTGGCAGTAGGCATTCTACTCCTCAGAAAAATGCTAAGCTCGGCTCATTTCAAACTCGCGAGTTAGGCTCCATCAAGCCTGTCTAGATGTACTTCAACATTTATTAATTGAGAGCTTTCGATGCCTGTACAATTTTTTGCATTACTATAATTGTGTGGAAAGTACAATCATACGCTATGTTCAGGGAAGTCGATAAATTTTTCAACCAGAAAAATTCCTAAACCGGACCGGGAATCGAACCCAGTCGCATCCAGCATGGTCTTCCTTTGTAGTTGCGCCTTTACCAACTGAGCTAAGGGAGGCCCAAGAACTCATGGTAAACCCATAAACTGCAGGAACTGACACCAACTCCAGATGACCCGATGGTCTTTAAACTCTCGCAAACTTTGAAATTTCATTAATTCCCAGAGCTTCTAATCAAGGCTCTGCATTTTCGCAAAGCTCCAAAATGAACTCGAGTTTTGTTTCTTTCGTGTAACATCCCACTTACATTGCATGTTTTATCGATGCACTCTATAAGTCTATATCATGGTCTACAGAACTCTCATAAAACCAATATTGCTACCTGGGTGTTTAACGCATCATTTTCATAACGCCTAGCTAGACTATCAGCACGAAACGAAAATGAAATGCTAGTGTACTAGCACTGTACTAAAAAGTAAACAGGGCGTCAACATATACCAGCATGAGATTTCAGCAACAACTGATATTCGTGCTAGTTGGTTGAGTTGGCTGAGCTAGTGAACTAGCATAAGCGTAAACAGCCCATTAGAGTGAAAGGCTGGGTGTGGATTTTCTCGTCTTTGCTTTGCTCACTCCTTTCAATCGACGATACTTTGATTTTCGAGGTGAAATGAAGTCTCATTATAGCTTTCAATATCTTTCACCTTTCACTCCAGGAAGTTCTAGGAACTGGCTAGAACATAGAGTTTCAAAACTCCAAAAACTCTCACAACATCGTGCTCAGAAGAAATTATCGGAAATCCGGGATGAACTTTCGGATCTGCATGATTTCTCAGAATACCGAAAAACTCCTCAACAAAGCTCAAACTCGGGAATTCGCTGACCGCTGCTACCAGGTGGTTGAGAGCGATGGAGTGCCAATTTGAGCCACATGGAGGTTGTGCCGCCAGCGGGGATCGACGTGGACTGTTCGAAATCGTACTACTTGCCTCACCATGGCGTTGTAAAGGAGGACAGCGTAACCACAAAACTTCTA